TCAATCACGCGATACGGCCCTTAGGTTATAGATCGAGAGAGGGGATGTATGCTTAACGCTAGCTGCAAACCGATGGAGGGGATACAACGTCACGATTTCTTCGTCTTCTAGTCGAATGTTTAAACAAGGGGTGCGGCGAAGCGGTGGAGCCGCCGAAAGTATGATCGTTCTTTATGCTAGGACGAAGCGATTACAAAGRAGCGAGAGAAAGAAAAAGCAATAACTATTATTTTTTTTTACTTTTTTTCTCGAGTATACCGTACTCTAGTTAACTTTAGAAATTGAGTTTATAAGTCTGTTCGAAGCCTAGTATGAGACTTACTTTGATTCCAAACCCTTTGTGATAACTAGCCGAAGATTCTCGATCTTTTCTAGATTCTCGAGATTCTCGAGATTTTCTAATCCGTTGTACAAAGCACAATTTATTCACGCACAAAAGAAATAAATTTTTTCACACAGCACGCAGGTGGGCTTTATGCGTAATCTGGGCCCATAACCTGTAGGATTATTGGGTTCTTCTAAATGAATATTAACACAAAATATAACTATATAACCAGAAAACTTTAATATTTAAGTGCACAAGGAATGGCACGTCTTTATCGAAGGGCTGTTTCTTATAGACTAAAAAAGGAACGAACGCTTACACACAATAGGCATATGGTCAGGTCAGTCCATCGGCGGCATCCATGACGTCAGCCGATCTCCACACCATGCAAGTTTAAACGTGTTAATAGAAAACTACGGCGCTCTTAGACCAGAAAGAAGAGAACCAAAGAGATTGATTTTCGTTCTTGAATCCAAGTTACATATTCCAACAGTTTCATTCGTTTCATCAGATATTTATTGCGTAAAATATTAAAGTATTGTATATAACAAACTGCAATTAATTACTTTATTTAATTAAAAGAGAAATAAAAATTTATAATTATTTGTGGTATGTCAATCGTAGATTTCTTCTTTATCGATGAAATTACATAATTATTCTTAATTTCGGTTGGTAAAAACGATAATCGTCGTAATACGAAAATTTTTATTATCGACCGGAAAAGTTACTATCTGTCGGAAAATATAATTAATTTACCGAGACAAAATTTTTTCAAAGAGTACAGAAGAGTACATAGAATCTTACAAGTTCCGTTTCTTATCTAGCCAGACTCATCTAAGTTACAACCGGGTTCACAAATGGGCGATAGTGGATAAAATACTGTATTCTTTGATAGTATTGTACCGTCATAGGGTTAAGTACCTACTATCGCCCACTGTTGACCCCGATTGTAACTGAGATGAGTCTGGCTAGATAAAATACGGGACTTGTGAGCTTCTATGTACTTCTGTATTCTTTGGAAAAATCAACGAGAATTTGTGACAAGAATAGTGAACACGGTTACTTGGAAACGGAACGTTGTTGGATATTAACAATTTACATAAACGCAATATATAAGCTCGCGTCTACTCGCGAACTTTGTGTAAGTAACTGTGAAACAATTTTAATGACTATTCATTTACATTTAAAAACTAATCATCACGCCTTTGAAACTGTGCAATTTTTTTTACTTTTTTCTAACTAACTTATCCTCATCTTAATAGGTTAGAATTTTTTCAGAGAAAAGAAAAAACGATATGTGATTTGCATGAATGCACAATGAATAACACTCACCAATAGCGCGAGATACGGCCAAAACTCCATTAACTCGCACTGTACCCTAATTGAATGCCAGCATTCCACCCATTTTTTGTATTCTTTCAGATTCATCCTATCGAAAAAAAAAATATTTTCAGTTTGTATTTCATCACTTAATAAAACACCCTATAAACATATTTGTTATTTCTTTCATTTCTTTTCAATTGTTGCTATGCATAATTAACTAATTTCAATTATTTAATAAGCTCTCCGCCTATATCAAATGTATAAATTTTAATATATTTGCAACGAGTTTATAAAATGGTCTTCAATTAAATTATAGTCTAGAAATTTGTCATGTCAAAAGATTTAGTTCTTATACGCCAAAATGATTACGTTAAGTACACAAGTAGATAGCGACAGAAGATTGTTACAATTCAAAAGCTACGAAGAATATTTAGATTCTTTGGTAACTCCTATAGATTTTTGCTATTTGAAAAATACAAAAGTTGCGCGACAATTGGCAGAACTTGGTTATCGATGTACAGGAGAAACTCTTGATAAAAATACTTTCTATCTGCGTCTGCAAACTGTCAAAGATTTATTATACCCAATTCTTAAGCCATATCATCTTAATTCTGAATTTATACTTCCTTTTGATCCGCTAATGCAAGAACTAGCAATTTGCGAACGCTTTAATAGACTACACGCACTATCAACTATCATATTTATACGTCATAATCCACGCCTTCAAGTCGAAGTATCAGGCTACATAGATTTCAGTGAAAGACTTAAAGCAGAAGATTGGCAGCTATATTTCAAAGGAAAAAAGAAGCTTTGGCCTAAAATTACAGACTTGGCGTACTATCATTGGCAATTAGGAAAAATGCAATTAAATATTACATCAAATTATGAACCAGTAATAGATTCAAAACATGGTCTTTTATTTAAAAATATTCATGATAGAAAATTAATTAATGTCGATCCAAAGGCGATTAGGCCTGGCATAAATACTACGAGAATACGCGTATATAGCGATGCGTATGAACATGTTATTTTATACGATCATGTTGTTAGAAGCACTGTTATTTAATAGAAAGTATTTGTATTATAATCATAAATATTTACTTACATATCGAGATAGTCTATGAGGATATACTAATTCTTCCACTTTGCCACGTTTAGCTAGCATAGCCAAAGAATCTCCTACCCAAGCAATATATAATTTTTTATCCAACAATAACCGCAAACTGCGGTTGTACCTCCAATTACTTTCTGGAAAAAATTAAATAATTTTATTAATGTTTATAACTTCTTTAAAATTCAACCTATTGGAACGTTTTTTTTAAATATTTGTTTTTAAATGTACTTTTCAGAAAAAAATACAAAAAATTTTTAAAATTATAAAATCCATGAAATTTTCGTATTTTTTGAGAAAAACCGTTATTTTCTCGAAGTTCGCCATTTTTCATTTTTTTTTATTTTCTAGAAAAAAACTTTGTCTAAATCTGCGACTATCCCCGCCAGTCCCAGAGTAAGCTGAGTTAGTTTCCTATTTTTTTTATTTAATTGAAAAAAAATTTTTAATTAATGTTTTGTTAAATTAAATTAATGCAATTAAACAATTTTACAATATTATATACTTAATTTATAGTCTCAAAATACAAAGTTTAAAAAAAAAAATCAACCTTTCGTTTTTTGCTGTAAGAATAGGATGGAATTATTACGTCATTTTTATTCTAGAACATATGACTTAATATTAAGGTCATAAATAAAGTCACTTTTCACTTCAAAAATTTGAAGATGACTTTATGACATACGTATGACATCATTTTAAGGTCTTGTGTTCACTGGGTTCCGTCATGTGTACGAAAAAATTTGAAGATTACTTTATGACGTACGTATGACATCATATGAAGGTCTTATGTTCACTGAGTTCCCATTGCATTTTCCTCTTTCATTCTTCCTACTACCCTCACTATTTCTTAATACAATTTATAAATAAACTTAATTTAAATTAGATTATATTGTATAATTAAGTTTTTGTCAATTGTATCTAATATTTTTATTTTTTTATTTTTCTATTTTTTCTTCAAATGTAGAGGATTAAATTTTTTGAGTTATTTTTGAAGTTACTGAACTTATATTTTCATTTGGTTATATCAAAGAAATATAACTTCTTACGTTCATAATAAGTACACGCACTAGTATTTTTTCTTATTTTATCATTATTTTTGTGTAAATATTTCAAGAAAAAAATATGTAAGAAATGAATGAATTTATATTTCTTTATGTGTTATAATTTTTAGATATCTTTTGCTTTCAAAAAACTATTATAAATAATTCCGTCTTATTGAATATATTATGCAAGCGAACACTTCAATATTGTAATATTCATTCGTCGAATAATTAAAAAGGTCTATATTATCGAGGTTCTTGGGCAGCTGATTCCAAAGATCAAAACACAGATTTCTTTTTAATTATAATCAATCCAATAACTTAATTTGTTCACAAATTATACATTATTTATTTTAAGACAGCTGTCTTAAACAATATATTTAAATCTTTGTTTTTACTTCGTTTTAGAAAAAAAGGATTTATTAAAAAATTAAAAAATTATTATTTTTAACAGACTTTTCAGAAAACATTAGTTAAAATACATTTTATATTTTACAAGTGCATTATACTAGACTCTGTGTTAGCATAACAACTGCTAGTCTCGGGGAAGGAAAACTAGTTTGCAGTGGTCCCCAGGGTGATTGGGTCCCAGTCACCACAACTCCTCAGGTTGCGGATAGAGGAAGGGCCTCTTGGTTCTGCATAGGAACGGAGGTTAACTGCAAATAAATTGAATAAGCAGTCGCGGACAGCCGACTTGGAATTGACCCTCCTGTTCGGGGGTTGGGCGTAGGTCTGATTAATCTACACCGTAAAACGACTTTATCACGAAACAATGAAAACCGCCATAGATTCTACTAGGGTAAAATTTTCCGGAGGTAAACTAATCCCCCGCTCGGATCTCCGGGTAGCGACTACTTTGGGGAATTCGTGTCGGGTAAAGTCAAAAAACGGAAGGGACTTTAAAGTGGGCACCTGCAACGTGCGGAGCCTGTTCAAACCCGAGGCGCTCCAGGTGATTGTGAGGAAGGTCGAGAAGTACGGGGTAGAAATCGTCGCGCTACAAGAAACTCAATGGGCTAGGAAAGGTTCGATCAATGCGGGGGCGTATACGCTTTACTATGAGGGGTCGGAGACCCATAGTTTCGGCGTCGGGTTCATGATTAGGAAAAGAATACTATCTGCGGTAAAAGTTATTAGGTTTATAAATGAAATATTAAGATTGATTATATTGCAGGGGCGATGGTACAAGATCGCGATTAATGTGCACGCGCCGAGGGAAGATAAAGAGGACGAAGTTAAAGACGGGTTTTACGAGGAACTTGAGCGCGTCGTGGATCAATTGCCGAAAGATTACATAAAGATAGTCGTGGAAGATTTTAACGCGAAAATCGGTGAAGAAGAGTTCTTTAGACCAACGATCGGGCCCGAGAGTCTCCATGAGGAAAGTAACGATAACTGAGTAAGGGTAATTAACTTTGCGACCGGGAAAAATCTCATCGTTAAAATCACGTTTTTTTAAACACAAAGATATCCATAAACAAACCTGGATTTCCCCGGACGGAAATACGCGTAACCAAATTGATCACGTTCTGACAGATAAACGACGACACACGAAATGGACAGCGGATAGGAAATAAACAGATAAACGTAAAAAAGATTATCAAGGGAGAAAACGGAATAAATTACTCGGCCGAAGTATCGAAAAGACTCGCGTCGGCAAAGAAAATTGACAAAGCAGATGAGAGTACGGATAAAAAATGGGCAAGCATACGCGACGCGATGGTCAAATCGGTGGAAGCTATCGTTGGTTTTTGTAAAAGGCACAAAAATAAATCACGGTTCGACGAAGATTGCGAGTCAGCCTTCAAAGTCCGAAACAAAGCGCGTATCTCGTGGCTGACCCAAAACACGCATCTAACCCGGGACTAATTTTACAATGTTAGGCAAGCGACGCACAATTTAATTAAGAACAGGAAGCGACAATTTTTAAAACATAAAGTTGAGGAAATTGATGAAAATTGCCAAAGCAGTAAAGTCCGTGGTATGTACGCGGGGATTAATAGACTCAGAAAGGAATTCGAAGCTACGACGGATCTAGTGAAGGATGCGAATAACAATTTAGTTATATTCTATATATTTTATAATTAATAATTATAATATTTGCGAAATATAGAATTTAATATTAATTTTTTAATAAAATAGAAACCTTTTTAAATAGAAAAGAAATGATATGTTTGGTGGAAAAAGCAGACCACGTACCTTCTTTCTTTATTTCTATCATCGGTTCGTTTGTATCCTTTTTTTGTCGAATACCTACGTGCTTATCTCTGTTTATTCTTCTGCCCTTCTATGGCTCCTACCTACAAACAGGTATAGTATCGAAATTATTGTATATGAGTCAACGCTCGTAGTATGCAATTGCACACAAACACACACATTTACCACCAGGAGCGATAACTACGAAGCAGAGCATAAAAAGAAAACAGAGAATAGGAAAAATTGTATAGCTATATTCTGTCTCATTCTCTCGCAGGCTTAATCCTATATGTTTGTCTCTTTTTCTCTTCTTACTGAGTATCGTGACCGTTATATAGGCACCGTGCGTAATTGCAGCGCCGTGGTAGCGTCATGGTATCTATGGAACTAAAAGACGTTGCTGCTGAGGTTTTAAATATCTAAACGTATAGGGTTTTGCAATAACAATTCATTTTTGTTATTAAAAACATTTTTTTTTGCATGTCAAACCACGTGACAATAAAATTTCAATCTTGTGCAATTATGATGCAAAAATTACTGCTAAAATGTAAGTATAATTAATAATTTAAAAACAGTATGAAAGCTGTAGCGTTTACTGTAGTAAATAAGAAGGTAAATTATAGCCACAGTAGATCAAACTTTAAATAATATTTGCAAGCAGATAAAGTACGATGTGACATTGTTATAAGAAAAATAAATATATATGTAGGAGGGTTTTAAGTGTCGCAGATGTAGACGAAAATCTAGTATTCAGTTCTTTTCTTTATATTTTATTTTCTAAAAAAGAAAACTCTATTATACATTTTTATAAAAATATCATAAAATTAATTGTCACACGTATGTTTTGTGAACACCAAAATAAAAAACACCGTCTTTTACTGCCAAAGTTATCCACTGTGTGCGCTAGTGTCCATTTCGGCTTCCCCTACCACGACTTCACACGGTGCCTATAGCCGCCCGCCGCTCCGTTACATTGCCGCCGCGTCCCCAACAGCCGCTTGCCGCCGCGTTTCATTTTTTTCAAATCATTCCCTATTCTAAAGAAGTTTTCACTTAAAAAAATAAAGAAGGCTAAGGCAACTATTATGCAGATTTCTCCAACATGGAGTCCTCCGGTAATTAGTTTTGCTAATGATGAGGAAAATAATGGGTTATATTAGAAAAGAATTAAACACGTGGTTGAGCTAATAGATAGTGTGATGGATCGTTAGGGAAAAACCTTGCGGCACAAAAACCTTGGTTGTGGTTTGTTTTACAATAGTGGTGATCAACCACGGCGAGTCACGTTGTTGAACTATTGTTTGTGCTTATTGTTAGATATGTGTAAGGGGTGATTTTACCAAACTGATGTGTTCGTGATTAAACTCCTCTCGCTTTCGTGAATCGTTCAAAACATCTCTCGCTCGTTTGATCGTTCTAAACTCCTCTCGCTCGTCTAAGGTGTATAGTCGCAGGCGTCCAGCGGAAGAATAGACCGATTTTTTCTAGGATTATGCCCAGCATGACACTCACAGTAAAGATATTAGTGTTAGGAGGGGGGGGGGTGCGCGCGTCCTCTCACCCATCATTCGTTTGTTCTTTTCGGGAAGTGGCGTAACGTCTTAATGTTACGCCGCGTATTTCGAATAACACTTGACAGTCTAAGGTCGTTTCCGACTGTACAGCAACACTCATAATTTCTTCGTCTAATCCTGCACTCCTATCTTTAGTCAATGGGTC